AAGTAGGTGCTTTAGACCACTGAGCCATCTCACCAGCCCCTTCTCTTTGGTTTTTAATGTAACCTTTTTGTCATACTGAGGAAAGCATGATCAACATAAACAGGGGATATTTAATTTTTTTTTAATTATTAAAGACAAATTGCTATTAATCCCCCTCAGAATGCACTTCCTTCATTTTTTTTTCCTTCTCATTTTTAAAACACTAATCCCATCTCTCTTTTTTTTTTTTTTTTTGGTACCAGGAATTGAACTCGGGACCTTCACTTGCCAGGGAGGAGCTGTGCCACTGAGCTAGATACCCAGCTAATTCCATCACTCTTGCCACTTTCTGAAGCAGCTGTGAATATCTTCTTTTGTGAGTAACTTTAGTTACACTACTATGCTGCTTCCATTTTCTGAATCAGTTCAAAACACTTAATCTTTCATCGTCATTCTGACTGCAGGAAGAACTAGAAGTCACACAGATCTAGTGAGGAAAGTATAATGTTTTTAGCACAATGAATGTTTACATTTAAAAATATTTTTAGTACAATGAATGTTTAAATTTTAAAATGTAAAGTTAGGGGCCGGCAAGGTAGCTCAGTGGTTTAAAGCGCCTGCTTAGGCAAGCTTAGGCAGGCGCAGGGGACCAAGGTTCCATCCCTGGCACCACATGCTGTGCCAGCCCTGCCCTCAGGGCAAGCTGAGCTGGCCAAAAAAATGCAGAGTAAAAGACATATTGCCCCCTTGCATGCACAAAGGACTGTTCCTTAAACACATTACCCTACCTTTTTTTTGCGGAACTGGGGATTGAACTCAGGCCCTTGCGCTTGCCAGGGAAGCGCTTATTCCACTGAGCCATCTCCCCGGCCCCCTTATCCTACCATTCTGAGCAATATTTTTTACTGCAATATTTTTAAAAAATTTAAACATTCACTATTTTTTGATCACCCTGTGTATATTGTGTGAGACTGGGGATTGAACCTAAGGCCTCAAGCTTGCTGTACCACTGAGCTACATTCCCTACTCTCATTCGTTTTTAATTTTTAGTTTGAGACAAAGTCCCACTAAGTTGCCCAGGCTGGCCTTAAATTTGCTGTCTTCCTGCCTTAGCCTACAAAGCAGCAGTTGGTGAATTAAGTTTTAATTGTGCCTGTTCAACAATCAGCTGATTATATTTCTGAAACTTACAATAGCTCTCAGAATCTGGCTTAGACCAGCCCCACTTGCCACCGGGACAGCCATATTTCTGAAAAGATGGCCAAATAGAAGGTAGGAATTGATCTATTCTTTAATCACACAGTTGTCAGTGGTGTCACTCATCTTGTTCCTGACTTGATTTACCATAGAAAGACAGATACCTGTGGACAGCTAAGCATAAACTGTTTCTATACTTAAATGGGCTTTGGGGGAATTCATGAAATGAGAATGAAGAATGTACTGTCTCAAAAAGACCATGAAGATGAGTCTAACTAGCCCTGTGGATGCTGTGCTATGGGCAGGATGGTACAGCTATAAACAAAGGCTCTTTCCGCATCCACTGAGATGATCAGGTGATGTCTGTCCAGGCATTTTTGATCATCTGTCTCAGTCCTTTTATTTGCTGTGACAGAAGCTGGGGATGCAGCTCAGTGGTAGAGCTCTTACTTAGCATGCACAAGGCCCTGAGTTCAAT